TTGCCTGTCCCTTTCCCCAAAGATGATAAACTCTCATGTTCCCCTGTGTTCCAGCCGGAGCTCTCTGTGGGACCCATTGGGAGTGGGACTAGTACAGAAAGCAGGGATTCAGGCATATCTACCTAAGTCTCATTTCAAAGGAATAATAGCTAAGAAATATGTCAATGGCAATTCTTGGCTGGTTAAGATCCCCTCCTAAATGAAGAGGACCATGCCCCGTTGCCTAAATTATTGAAAGTGGGCAAGTGAAAGTTAAATACCAGAAATTAGTGTATCCTGTAGCTGCCTCTGCCATTGGCTTACCTGTAACACAAAGCCACCTTCCACATGCCTCTGTTTTTTTCTTTTCCCAAGAACTTGTACCTCCCAAACTAGCCTGCTATTCAGGGCAACCAGGAAGGGCATTACTTATGGCACCTCCCTTCATGGTGCCCAAAGGCTTAATTGCCTAAATTCAGCACACAGAACCTAATGGAGGCCAGCTAAGTGATATAGAAAACACCAAAAGTAAAGCTATTGTGCTGGTTTGACTTGAAAAGAAGAAACTCAGAAAAACGGGTTTTTTTAAGGGGGCTTTTTCTGTGGGGGGTTGGGACAGTTTTAATAGTTAATTAGAGAAAGTTGGTTTGTTCCGTGAACACACATTTTAAAGGAGGTAATTTGGAACTGAGGCTTTTTGGTTTTTTGGTGGTTGATCAGGTAACACTGATCCAAGCTCTCCCCACCATGTGGGTGGGGCTCGGGAGGCTGCTTGGGCTCTGTTTGCAAACTAGGGGACCTGATGGCCGCGAGGGAGGAGAGGCTTGTTGATAAGATTTTAGCCTTACTTCCTTTTCCATGGGCTCGCGGCTTTGGATGGGGGCAGGCCCGGCTCCTGCTGCTGGCTCGGAGCAGTTTCAGAAGGGCCGGGCCTGCCCAGCCCCCCACGTGGCCTGGGGGAGGCAGCCAGGCCCTGTCTGGGAAGCAGAGGTGGCCATGGGCAGTGTGGGGCTCCAGCAAACACCAGAAAGGCTGATTGACATCTCAGCCGCCCCCCACACCTAGTGCGGCCTGGGCTTAGCTTAACTCTTGCAGCTGTGTTAAACTTTAATTCTTTAGTGCTTAAATAAAATTTGCAAAATCTCCGGCTTTCTTTTGAATATTAAAAAGAATAAGTAGATATTCTAAAGTAAGTAAAGCAAGAGCTAAGTTTTTTAGATGAAAGAGAATGAAGAGATGCTGTGAATATGGCTAAAAAGTAATTTTGTACTGTTATGAATGATGTTCTATTTTTTCCAATTTATCAAGCAACAA